CTCTGAGAACAGCAGTGCCGGGAAAGTGTTTGCGGAACCATGCGGACCTTTGACGATGCCGAACCGAAACCAGTCATCGACAAAGCCATGGGGGTCCACAGTGATCGCCTTCTGCTCTCTAAGCCGTTGGATGACCTGCGCGTCAGACGCACTTTTAATTTCATCCAAGACAGCTTCATAGCGTTTGTCAAGATCAACTCATTGCCCATGCTCATTGAATATAAACCTAAAATCAGTTAGATTGGCTTGACTGAGTTTAGGTTAAATTTACTTTACGCTAAACCCAGTCGAGCCCATCTCTGAACGACTTAAAAGCCATCTGCTGATCTTCATGAGCAATGATGACAAAAACCACGCAAACTCATTAGCAGCGTTAAAGAATTTCCTGAAGACTACAGGAAGAAGCTTCTACTGATACTACTACTCTTCTACTACTAGAAGTATTTGTTTTTATCAGCACGAAAAAAGAAAACTCCAGAATTACAAAATTCTTCTTTGGTCTCCACAATTCTTTGGAGACCCCAGGAATTTTGTAATTTTTGAGTTTTCTCTATTTTCTCCACCATCTGCATTTTCTCGACCGATCGGTGGGAAATACATAATCCGGAGACGCTTAAGATATTCCTGGAAGACTATTTGACTGGCAAGCTGTTTTCTCTACCTTAACCAGCCTCCCAAGCGAACCATGTATTGAAGGCGGAAGATGTCGCACGCAGAAATACCACAAAGACACCGCCTGGTGGTGGCAATAATTTAACGAGCGTGAGCGCTCAGATCTGTCCCGCTGCGCTTGCCGATAACTACGACAACAATGATAATTCCAAGCGGCGCTCGGAAATGAGTCGGAATCACCATTGTCGTCACAGTAATCATTACTGGGAAGTCCCGAAAGTGCACCACTTCCGGCTAACGCTATAAACCAGTAAAGCCAGAAAACGGTTGTATGTACCGGTTCGAGCTAAGCACGAGTACCATCCAGAAAAGTCGAATAAGAAACCGAACAACAAAATTTTAGCATCTGTCTCGCTCTTTATTAAAACCGTTGGCTCTCTTTCAGGTTCAGGAAGCCGACACATGGTTAACAATGAATCTTGGTTAAATTATCCCTTTTGTACTTCTTTAATAAATTAGTAAATTTCTAATAGCTCTTCCACATTATATTTTTAAAAATTATTAATGCGTGACCGATGTTCCAGGAAGTCCCGCTTTGTTGAACATAGAGGACCTTCGCTTTGCGTCGGTCGACAAAGTACTTTGGTCATCATAGGTTCAGTATAAACCTTCTAAATGAAATGAAATTTGATTGATTAATGCCCTGCTATTATTTAGAGAAAGTTTCTACTGGAAGATGAACTTCTGTCCATCTACTTTTCTACCCGTCTGCCCATCTACGAACGACCATCGTCGTCATTATCAACATCAACATTGTGGCCCGCGCTCAAGCTCGGACTTGGACTACTAAAACTTGGACTTGGACCGAACTTGGACTTCATAACTTGGACTTGGACTTCCTAACTTGGACTTCTCAACTTGAACTTCTAAAATTGGACTTCCTAACTTGGACTTGGAAACGTGCACAAAATTAGTATGCCTAAGAAACCTAAGAAACCAAAGTAACCTAAGAAACCTAAGAAACCTAAGAATCCTAAGAAACCTAAGAAGCCTAAGAAACCTAAGAAACCTCAGAATCCTAAGAACCAATTAACACAATTATTGATCTTATGCATGTACATAGTAGTACATAAAATTTTACATAATATTTTAATAATAATATTATGTAACTACAGTACAATGTATTATGTATAGTCTAGGCTCGTACAAAGAGCATACAATGTCATAATACGTGTAAGTACATGTATCATGTATGTACTCTGTAGAGTGTATCACGTACGCACGCACGCACAGATACGAGTATCATGCAGTCGGCTTTGAGCGCGATCGATTTTCCTGCAAGGAAATCCAATCGTTTCTATAAAACCCGAGCAATCTTCAAACAGATTTACTGGCGATAGTTTGCTGGTTGTGGTGATGGTTCCGTTCGCAATGTAAGCGCGATCGGTGGAACGAAAATTACGTACATGCACCAATAAAATTCGGCCACTACGCGGATGAACCGATAAATGTAAGTACATTTGATTTTGCAACTGGCAAAACTGGCAAAACTGGAAAAACAAATGCAGCGACAATTTTATGTGTCGAAAAAGTTATTATGGTTGGGTTGTTAAGGGGATTAAAAGCAAAATGAGTTGTTATGATAATTATAATATTGCAGCAAGCTGCAGACATTGAAGCTTATTCAACTAAGATAAAAAATAAATTATATTAATTTAAAATTTAAAATGCCCTGTAGTAATAATAAGAGTTAGGGAGAATATGACCACTGGTAACGGCTAAATTATTTGCAGTAGCAAAATATATAATATGTGGACATAATATGTATATATTTAAATATGTTAGAGCGCCGCTGATTTCCTTAAAACCGTCGTATCGGCGTCGGCTTGAATGCTTCCGCCCGCCGGAAATGTGCTGTTACATCAAGATAATAATTACCGTGTGGGCGATAATAATCTTTATACAAATGAAATGTGTATAATGTCACTGCAGTCTGCACTCTGAAATCACTGGAAAACATCAGTCGTGTAAAAGGGAAAGAAAGCCGTCAAAATCCTCTAGAAGATTTTTTCTGCTTTCTTTGACGCCTGCGACGATGGTGTTTGTACTCTGAAATCTGAGAGTACCTGCACATTCAATGCCGTCACCCTGGCGGCGCCTTTTTATCATTCATGACAGTAATCTGGATTATTACGACCTTACCCAAAGTGGTCGATGTATGCGTGCGCGACGCCGTTAGGCTGGAAGTGTTTATTAATTTTTCTGTCTCACAAGCCGTAAAACCCATTCTTTTCGCCCGAGATTGTGGCTGTTACAGTTAAGAGATTGTGGCTGTTACTCGTGAACGTATATAAGTTATACGATCACGAGATTAACTGTAACAGGGAGAAATATTTGAAAATGTTTTAATTGTGGGCTTCGTCGATTACATCAAAATTATAATCGGCTATCCGAACGACGGCTATCCGTTTTCCTGTCCGAAATAAGCACATTCGGAGTTCCGACTGTGCTTAGTTCGGATAAGAAAGCGCGCCGCGGCTTCTCACTCGGGGACAACGGTGCCGGGAAAGTATTTGGGGAAACCATGCGGACTATTGACAATACTAAACCGAAATCAGTCACCGAAATCAGTCAACGATGATCCCGTTCTGCTCTCAAAGCGGTTGGACGACTTGCGTATATTATTGTCACCGCACTCCTAATTTCACCAAAGATGACTTTATCTCGTTCTTTACACATAACTCATTACCCCTGCTCACTGAATTTAACCTAAACTCAGCCCACCCCTTCTCTGGAAAACGTAAAGCTATCTGCTGATCTCGGGAGCAAGGGTGACAAAAACTGCCCAAACATCATTAACAGCGTTAAAGAATTTCCTGAAGACTACAAGATCAAGGTTCTATTTGTCTGTATCAACACGGATAGAGAGAAAAAAAATTACAAAATTTCTTGACCTCTAGGAAGAAGATTCTCCCACCGTCCGCATTTTCTTGAACGATCAGTTAGCCTTTAGATTGAATCCTTCGTCTACCGATTTATAAGCTTATAACCGGCCTATAGCTCCGGCGTTTAAGCCGGATGTTGAAGGATTTAATTATTTTGGAGACGTTATTAAATATATTCCTTGGAAGACTATTTGGCTACCATCCTATCTTCTCTCCGTTATCCATCCCCCCAAGCAACCCAAGTATTGAAAGCGGAAGAAAAAATTCCACAAAGACACCGCCTGATGGAAATTGTGTTTGGAACCGTCGTTGTCGTTGTCATGGTCATCTTTATTATCGGCACCGGTAAGTGGTAAGGATAGTGTATGGTAAAAGATTCTCGTGCTGCTAATGTGAAGATGTGTTTGTACGGAATGTTGTACCTGGCAGCTGGCCTAGTCTATGACGTACGCATTTTAGCCTGGCAGACCGAACAACAACAGTGCAACTGCGTGTATAAAGTGCAGCTCCTGAGCTGCTAATAAAAGTACAACTACGTATTAGCGCTCAGTAAATCCGTGACAGTAAGGCACATTTCCCGTATTAGGTATTAAGTAATAGAAAATTATTTCAACTTTTTCGAACACCCTTCTTGTATGGCCTTTCTTCGTGTATGAGCTATGGCGTATGGGCAAACTATGGGTGGCAACCGTGCATTAACTATGGGATGTATTTACTGAAACAAGAAACATAAAACGTGACGACGCCTAACGCTGTTCTACTTCTAACTCAATCCACGGTTCTGTTTGTTGGAATTGATTTTTTAAAGGGAGCGACTAGTACCAACTAAAACCAATACTTGTACCGAGCAGCTGTTGCTGCGCCTAATACTGTTACTTACTTTATGGAAATATGAATGGTTAAATAAGACTCTGTAGTCTACCGGAAGAGCTGAATTATACTGTACCCAGGTATCGCCAGCATCCTCTGCAAAAATTTCACTTAAAACGCTTATCACCACGAGTGATTTTGGGCCTTTACGTTAGTCCAGAACTAACAGTAACAGTCACAAGAACGTACAAATGCAGGAAACGTTTTCTTTCCAAACAACCGGAAACCGGTTGTCATCACGCATCGAGTCCACATATTGCCAGCGGATATTCAGTGAATACGAGTCGAGCACGTATTCTGCATTTCTGCTCACAAGATATTTTTTAAGTTAATCGATTTCTAAAGAGCATAACTGCTATAATTGCTGCTGGTGCGTGACGCGTATAAAATTGAGTGATGTACAGCTCTATGCCTGCTATCACTATGTCTGCTTTCGCTGTTGGTTTTTTTATGTTATCGGAATTCTTGGTTTTCACGTTACCATCTACAACAAACCTGCCGACGAGTAAGTTAGTTACAATATAACCAAAAGCCTTGGTATGTTTTCAAGACATGATACGCCTGGTTGAACAGATTGGCGAGAATTCATCGATCCCGATATCCTGGCCAAAGGCAGCGACGCTAGTCTTTACGACAGTGACCTACTGGAAGGCGACATCACCGGACTCGAGGCTCTGGAGGTATTACGGAACCACCTAAAAATAACCATTTCGACAGTGTTATAATATGTATAACGATTTAAACCCCTCTCATTTGTTGCCTTATCATAACGCTTCTTATTTCTGATTGCAGTTGTCACATGGATCGGCTAATGCGATCGACAAGGCTGACTCGTTTTGGCCAAACAACACCATCCCGTACAAATGGCCCGCGCTCAAGCTCTGACTCTGACTCTGACTCTGACCACTCAAACTCTGACTCTGACCACTCAAACTCTGACCACTCTGACTCTGACCACTCTGACTCTGACCACTCTGACTCTGACTCTGACCACTCAAAGTCTGACTCTGACCACACAAACTCTGACTCTGACCATAGAAACTCTGACCACTAAGTCACCACTTGGACTTACTCTGAATTGTTCCTGCTTTGCCCAAAAACTCGTGTCTTCGACTATGGTTGGTCTGGGACTTTAATTGTAGCTTCTGAAAATCTTGACTCGCGTTTTGAAAGTTGTGTCACAGTGTACCGTGGAATCAACCGCTGATGGACTTACGGACCCAGCTTCACAATAGTAAGCGCATTCAAACATCCTTTACGAGTGGCTCTGTTTCTTAAAGAGGCCAAATCGTTTAACTTTGGGCTCCGACTCTGCGCTACCATGAAATGAAGGCTCTATAATTTTCTCCTTTTTAACGTAGCACCCTTTAACTTAAAAGTACCAAAAGTTGTACTTTTCGGTATAGGGTATAGGAATCGCTAGTGCAAACTGAAGGGGTCCAGCATTTAATGTGCAGGTATTTTCAGCGGTTTCAGATTTTCTGTGCTTCTGTAAAGAGGGATGCGTAAATACAAATCCAATCTATTTTATCATTAACCGATATTAAGAAAAAGATCAGTATTACGCGCGGCCTGGAGATCTCACTTATCAAATACTTTAAAAATTGTGATACCACAATTAGATCCGCCGTGGTCCAGAACTGAGTCACATGGCTTGTTTTTGAATACGTTCAATCAGAATCGTGCCGGCAGGATGCCGCACACGATCCAACCCAGTTTCAAGGTGGCCTTGAAACCTAGAAAATTTTGCCTGGATACAATGCGCAACATAAATTATCAAATACGCAAATTAAACGGGAATAAATTGTACATATTTCCATACAACACCAACCACAAAATTAAGTAATCACAAGTTTACCTATCGATTTTCGTTGTCAACACATTTTTAATATAATTATAATGGTATGTCTTAACTGTACGAGTCGGGCTGTTCGGTTCTGGCAGGATCACTCTTCTAAACAACTGCTAAAAGGAAAGAGCCGCATTTTTTATTTTAGGGAGAGTGAGTTACCGAGCTACCACTACTGTCTAGTGAGCAAAAACCTTGACTGAGTGAGTGAGCTACCGAGCTACCACTGCTGCCCAGTGCAGTGACCGAGCTACCACCCCTCAGTACTCAAAACGCTACGTGAATGTCTAACTGAGCTATTCCTTGTTTCGGGCCGCGGACTACAAGAAGCGCGGAGGCAAAACCTCTGCTGTTTCTTGCAGATAAATATGATTGGCTAGTGAGACTTAAAGGGAGAACGCTTTTTAACTTACAGAGCCGTTCGTAAAGGATATTTGAGAATCATTAATAATGTATAATTCACCGACTGGACTATACCGTTCGTAGGGTCTAAAGGTCCAGCAAAGGCAGCCAATACTGATTCTGCGTAAAACTAGTCGCTGCCAAACCCTGTTGGCGAACACTGATGCCACTACGTAGCGTTAGCCGTTATAAAACTCTTTTGTGACTACAGCGCACCCCCTAATTTGGCTAATGGTACGTACTACAACTGAACCATTTGACTCTCTTTGAGCCAACAGTACCCATGACTAATGCGACTATAAATTACTGTAATTAGCTGACTATTACGTACTACGGCCGTGGCCGCCATGCGTACGCACTACAGTGCAGTTAAGAAATTTAGTTAGATTAAATTATAAAATCTTAATTAATGAATTATACCCGATACGGGCACAACATGGAAGAACAGCTCAATCTTCGATGGCACCCTCTGGAAGAGGGGCATGTTGTCGAATTTGCTGAGCATTTGGAAGAAAATTAGCTGCAAGCAGAATTAGCTGCTGGTCTGTCGTGGTAGTGCGCGAACACTCGGAACACACGCCAATAACACTATCGAAAGCTTTTTTGTCCATAAAAAGCCGACATTGGGAATACCGCACTTAACTGCACCGCGCTTTTCAGAAACTGCAAAGTTCTAATAAAATAACTGCCATACACAAATTTTGCTGTGAGAAAGTTCAAACCGCGACGTGTGACCTTTACGAGGAATCCGTCTACACGAGCCGTAGTTCTTGTAGAGAATTACACGAGCCGGTAACAATTAAGTTATCACCCGAGAAAAAAGAAAGTATCTCATCCAGACTGCCTTTTGAACAACTCAATAATCAATAGCATCATTTTCTGGTTTTTTGTGAAAAAATGAATAAGGCATCGGTTCATACTGTACTAATATTTCTGCCATAATTGTAACCGAATTACTGTTGCTGTTTGTGGAATGTCAGACACTGTACTAATATTCTACTGTACTAATATTCTTGATATTATTTATTTTAGATTCTCGCTTTTATTTATTTTACGCATATACTGTACTAATATTCTCGCTAATACTTAATTTAAATATTTATGTAGTATCTTTAGCATACAGTATTATCGTGTGCTGGACGGGAAGCCAGTTGATTACCTATACTTGTAGTACACTAGCCAACTGTAGAATAAATGAAATAAACGTTAATGAATCAAACGTCATTCCATTAGCGATCAAATGTCATTTGCCCAGCCAAAGCCAGATTGGTAACTAACTAACGTAAAGCATTATAATGCCAAAGGAATAAAAAATGTGCTACTACAGACTTCAGTTATTTAGGCTTATGTGGTTAAAAATGAAGGTAGCTTACCTTTCGTATGTGATTTATTTATGCAAACGCCAGAGTCCACTAACGGGAAAACCGTAGAGTACATTGCTCCACGGGGAAAACCCGCAAGATAAAAAAAACGACTACAACAACATAAATTCACGAAGATAAAAATACTAAATAAATGGGCAATCCAGATAGAAAAAAACATTTTCCAACACAAACGCTAGGTTGGTTTCAAATACGAGTGCTTGTTCGGAAATCAGAATCTACAATTCGACACCAACTTAGACGCAAGTACGAAATGGCACGGTGGAGGGAATGCTTTCCATGAAATTTAGAAGCAATTTTTTCTGCTGTTCCGTTAACGCAATTTCTCTTCTCACTCCCTCTCCGAATCTCTGGCTTTCTAAACTGATGTCTGGATGCCGACGTCGTACACATCCAATATTCAGATGATAAGCACAGTCTCGCGGTGGCATAACAGCGGTTTTTCCTTTGTCGTAATTTGGCTCGGTCCTCACAAGTATCAAATCCAGATCCGGCGTTTGCTGTGAAAACGGTGTGCGGCAGCCACAGCAGTGATAACTTGTGTACGATCGCAAACCTCCGCCACCTTTCAAACTGCAGACCTTGAAAGGACCGACATTTAATTCCCACGGGAATTTGTTTCCTACATAACAGCAGACTTGGTTACATAAGTACCGAAAGCTGGACTAGGACTGCGAAAGGTTAAGCAAACTTATAGGAGCAAAACTTATAGGAGCCCATAATAAATACGAAAAACTGAAACATCTTTTTTCAAGAAAGATCTTTTCTTTTGAACACTCGAAAGTTACCGTACAGTGACTACTAACTTGAATACCATCTATCCGCTTTCATGTGATCGAAATTTACCGGGTTTTCTAACACGTTCGGCTACTTTAAGCGCTACTTAATTTTCGCTGGCAGATATAAGTTCCGTTATCAAGATCTCGCAGTTCCCGAAGTGGCAACAAAATAAGACGCTTACGTCCTTGCCACGAGAAGGGAAAGCGTTTACCCACCATCAGTAAGCGCGTACAATTTCCTGGTTGGTATCACCTGGCCATTAACCTGGTGGCGAACTCCCTTCGCTTTGTTTACCAGATTTTAGCAAGGTGGTTTACACCCACTGTGACCCACATAAGCGAGAAGCTCTCATACACTTACTCACACGCTTCTGCCCCATGGCCGTGCATGCTTTAATGTTACTGGGGACACGAGGCGCTACCAGCGAGCTGAACATGGCACCAACGCTAAGAATGGGCTTGCAATATTTCTGGAAAACGAAGCTTATATTCACATTTTTGGTAATATGATGCATAAGCTGGGAAAAATATTGAACAGGTGAGAAAAGGTGGCAGTGGCAACTGCAACTGGCTACTGCCAATGGCAGTAGCATCTGCCATTACAGGTCTGGCAAGCGGTAAACATGGCCGCAAAACCGTAAAGCTTTCCAATCGTTTCGAAAACTACAAATTCAGTTGCCGCTACATGTACTTATATTTGTGTTGTTGATGTATCAGAAATCACCTCCGATGTATTTTGAACTTCTGTATATTACCGGCACCGAGGCATGCCAGTTATCGTGAGCGTTACTGGCAGTGGTAACGGTAGCGGCACTTAATTTCAAGTTTTCATATTCAATTTTGAGGTTGCTACCAATACGGAATGTTGTATACATGGTATTGTAAGGTATACATTGTATGTATACTGCATGCCCCTGTAATTTACAGGCGTGCGTCATTGCTGCAAAAACTGAAATAATATGCTAGAATGAAATTTAGCGGAAACTTTCTCTCATACATGGCAAAATATCAAATATTCAACCTAGATAGGCGTGGAACCCGAATAATTAAAGTTTCTTTGTACTTTTGCGCATCGGAACATTGAAAAAATCAAGCACTGGCGCACCAGCTTACGCATTATCGATATAAATGCGTACCGTTACGCAGGGCCGTGACAAGGTTTGAGCAATGGGGTATACTGTACGCAACGGCCAAAAAATGGCTCCTAATCCCCCAAGGACAACGTAAACTCGTCATGGTCAATAATATGGCAAAAAACACGACCTTAG